CTTATATTCAGGGGTAAAGTTGCTGAGGTATGCCACCAAAGTCAACTACTGAAAGAAATTTGATATACACTCAGCTTTTTCGTCAAAGATCATAATGCATAGCGTTTGTCATCGTCTACGGATAAGCTAACGTACCAAAAAGTGATTAATCGATCCGTGACTGGTCCTCAGCAAGGCTGCTCATGCAAGCTTGACGTCCTCCGTTATCGTACCCGCTGCTTCACCATGCTTCAGTCCATAAGCATCTGCTATTCTTCTTCCGACACTCTCGCCGCTCCAGTATGCGCCAGTCGCAGTACCCAGGGCAACAAAAGGAGCAGTGTGTTCGCCAGCTAACCACAGACCACGCTCGGGCACACCCTCTCGCATGGCCTCTATGTCCTTGTCACCTTCCTGTAGGCCAACCTGAAAATTTCCATAGCTTCCATTTCCCGCCAGGTCATCATGAAGCCAATCAGTTGCGAAACAGGCGCTGGGCTGACAGTCGGCCGAGTCCTTCTCAAAGTGCGGCATGAGTGAATAGTAGGGTCTGAAGAAGTCATACAGATATTTGTCCTTTGCTTCCTTGTTAGGCAGCTTTGAGACAGTATCCGTAAGTACTTGGGACTCTTCACCATATATGTAGAATAAGAGGGTCGGATGGGCTGCTGAAGGTGCTAGTGATCCCAATTCAACCACTTCATGAGTCCACCTCTTCGGATTTGATTCCAGGTCATAATTGGGGGATAGCCACTGGCAAAACCCCTGAATGATTCGGCCGTTCTCGTCAGAATCAAGCCAGAAGGCTTTCGGGAAACTGATATAAACCTGGGTACAACGGTATTAGCTCCAATACATTTGAGACAGCTCACCACTTAGGACGTCTCTTACCTTCTCCAAGCATCCGTAGCCTATACTCCCGATTGCCCTGACGAGACGGGTGGGCAAGGGAGGCTCAAAGGCTCTCAGGTTCTGTTGAAGCCAGCCTAAAGGGACAGTCACTACAACTTCATCGAATGTGAAATGCTCGCCGGTCGCCGTGATTACAGCAATTTTCTCATCTGCCGTGCCTTTAGTGTTAATGAAAGCTACCGTCTTTTCAAACTCAATCGATGCGCCATCGATAGCAGGCTTTGCGATATCGTCTAGGATCTTCTCATACGTGCCAGCACAGAATAAGTTTTCTGAGATCTATCAGCGGGTACCAGTGTATAATATAGGCTAGCACAAGTCACTCACCTCCCTCAATGCATTCTTCCAGCCAAAAGAACTTCAGGCTCTGCCGCTCAATAGGACTCCCGACAAAAGCGCCCCAGAGATCAGCCATCTGCATCACAATCTCTCGTTGCCTCTTCCAGTTCTCTATCGATTCCGGAATACGCTCCACTATCCTTCTCTTGAAGAAATCTAATAAGCTCTCCTGGGGGTCAATGGAGGCGGAGTGTTCGCCAGAGTATTCGAACGCGTCCTTCACAATGTCCCACATGATAGTAGAATAGTGTTCGCCATCCGCAGACGAAAAGAGCTCGCCAGACTCGTTGAAGACAAATGACCTTGTGTCCCAACTGCCAACGGCAGTGTTTGTCTTCTTCGCAATGTCTAGGATTGGGTTGTCGTTTGTGCCGTGAATCCAGTTTGGGCCTTCGTCAACCAACTTGCCATTTGGCAATCTGTGCTGATGTACTCGACCGCCCACACGGTCCCTTCCTTCTAGAATAGTGACATTAAATCCATTCTGAAGAAGGATATCGGCGCAACGGAGACCAGAGAGACCAGCGCCGACAATCCCAATGTGCGCTTTCGGGCGATTTTGTGCCTTCTATGATTTAGGTCAGTGAGATCTCCCGTCTCAGAGCATTGTCCCCTAGGCCTCTAAACAAGGAATCCAGTCCTTGTCCTACCAGGAGCGTCGCCGTTGTATACTGCTATAATCGCCATACCACCATGATGTCATCACTATGAGGTATATGAGAAACTGGCTCACCTCGTGACTTGTGTCCATGTCTTTCATGGTTCTTATTACCTGGTGTGAGTCGAGGCCAAGAACGTGATGATAGCGACAAGACGTCAAGTCTTGATAGATACGGGATGCGCTCCGTCTCGACGGACTAGTAACGGAAATCGAATAAGCATCCATATTTTGAAGAGCTTCAAATGTGAAGTGTAACAGAACTAGTAAGAAAATCGCAGGTCAAAGAGAAGCCAGGGATGGTAACTTGGAGATATCAAGTGTGCGGCTCAAGCGACCGCCCCGCAGTTCATGTAGGACAGCACAGAAGGCCAGGTCAACTTGCGAGGTTGCAATGACACAATTCCAGTCCGGCGGCAATGCCAGCAAGAATGGCCAGAAATGCACTTGCACCAGGGAAAGCGAAGTTATGAAGTCTTCGAGGTGAAAGATAGGGAGGGGATTGTCACTAGCGTCTTTGCTCCGGCAGCTAAGCTCCCCAAGCTAGGGGAGAAAGCACGACCTCACTAACTACCCGCAGGCTGAGCAACCTCTAGACGGAAGAGAGAAGGTGGTGGTGGTGGTGTCCTACCCATCTGCTAGGCAGTCACAATGCTCCGCTCCTTGCCTTATCGCTTGTAATCTGATAGATAAGTCCCATGGAATGCAGGTGCTGACATAAAGCTTTCATATATGCCAAGAGCATTTATGGTTAGGTTAGATTGGGACGCGGAAGAAGATCCCACTTGGATAGCTGGGAGGGAAGGACAGGAAAGCGTCGGCCATGTAACAGCACCTAGATTGGAGCGCAGAAAGCAGGTAGGGCGATCGACTTGTAAAGCCGCAGCCAATAGCAAGGTGTCCACGAACCATGCCAGACACTGGGCTGGCTCATTGAGACCACGACTTTAGACTGACGGAGCATTATGTGGCCAGAGGTTCCACTTGATACCCTCTGGAGATGACTGGTAATTCCAGGCTTTGTTCAAATGGCAACTTGCTGGTTATCGCTATGATGAATGAAGTGGCACTTACAAAACCCGAACTGTAGTGCTACGGCCAACTCGAGAGGCAATCGATGATGCGAAACAAACGAAAGTCATGGAAGGAGGATTTAACCTAGGAAAAACATCCAGACTAGCCTTGGTAGTAACAAGCTTTTCAGGACTTGATAATCCCAGCTGCTAGGCAGTGCCCTATCTGTTCAATCAAAGTGGGAATGAGCACAGAAGCGTGAAGTCTTCCAACTTCTGGTCGAGTGGCCACTGAATCCTCCATGTCGGAGGCTCGGACTGAAAGAACGCCGGGTGGGGCTGAACTCTCCAATTCAGACTGTGTAGAATTCCAATTCGATATCACATCTTGAAGTTTGATCGTGACAATGACCGGTCATTTCAAGATCGAGAAACCATGCCAGTCTTTTGGGAAACAACTCAACAAACGACCTCGGTGGTTCAAGAGATATCAAAATGTGGAGAGCCGAGGATCTCATCTCAGGAACCTCGATGGGCGGCTCGGGGCTCTCGTCATCTGGGAGATGTGGGGTCTGACCCCTGCCAGCCTAGAACGAGGCCAACAAGGGTGCGCCGTCCCCCGCAAACATACTCCTCCGCCAGGGTAATGAATGTTAATTATTGAAGGGTGAGGA